TTTATATCAAATGGCAGGCGTTTTGGTGGTTATCATTAGCTCTTTAGTTGACTTCTGGCCTCACAGAGGGGAGGAGGAACATCAAAATGAAAAAAAGTCGAGAAGGGGGAGGAACAGAAGAGTGTTTCAAAGATGCAAAAGAGACAGACACAAAGGTAGAAAAAAGGTGAGGTGAGTACTATGGAAGTAGTCGAATATGACATACATTGGGGTGGTGGTAGTTTGAAGTGAGAAGTCAACTGTCGGTTGATAGACTTTTTTGTCGTATGAGTATGCGTTGCCCAGGGTGCACCACATGGGGGTAAGTCTATCGCACACCCCTTGTAGTACAAAATAGTGCTCAATGAATAGCAACCAAGGTAATGCTTAGTCTCGAACAAGGTGTCGCTTTTGACGCTCTAATCATTGTGAAGCATCGTAGTAGCTAATGGGAACAGTAAATTAAGTTATTGCATCAAGAGTCTTTATTTGGATTCTGAATGTTTGGGTTTTCCACTATGCGTTGCTGCTAAGTTCAACTTTCTAGGTTTGACCCATTCGTCTTTGAATACATTCATAAGTTCCGAGATCTTCATTGACTATCGACTAGATAAATTACTTGAATTGTTGGTCGTGCATGTGTAGACGTCTTTCAGCAAAAATGGTCCTCGTTCTTTCTTATGACGTGTCCACACTCTGACTATCATTGGAATTTTCAGAGCGAATTCTTGAAAAAAATCGATCTGCAATTGGACTGATTTGGTATTGATAATTCGAGAGTTAAAGGCGGTGAATACCTGAGATAAACAGTTATTCGTCGACTAACAAATTAAAAGCCGAAATAAATTTCTTTTGTTTGACTGAAACTTCAAAATGGAAGAAACATGATTTCCTGGAACTCAGACTGATTTTGAAACCTAGAAAAATATTGGCTATAAATTTGAGAGAGCTTAATGGCTCGTCAAATGTCAAAGGCTATTTTCTCAGACTCCTCAAGGTGATTATGTTGACATCATTTTTATTGGCCACTCTCACCCTCTTCTGTTGGACATCCACTTCACTGAATGTTCGCCTTTGGTCGTCATTCTAATTACTCACGGTGGTCGGCTTAACATACTTTTACTCAGGAAGTGAGCTTAAGCTTGGAGTTTTCGAAAGTAGAACTGTTTAATCTATTAACCTTCCCATCTTGGTTTCACTATCGCAAAATCAGAAGGCAGAGAATAAAGAGAAGGCGACAGAGACAGTCTTGCAACCAATAGGCTGAAGTAATGACTCAGCTGGGGGGGGGTTGAGGGGAGGAGGTGCAGGTGGTCCAAAACACTGTTAGAAAAATCGCCAAAAGGCATAGGAGATTCTTAAAATCGCGGGAAATCGGTTACGATCGATATAAAACCGTCATTATAAATATAGATTTTAGGAACAAAATTGTTCCCCCCCCCCCCCCCAACTTGAACCTCAAGCAGAACAGTGCCTGCTGTGGCCGTTGCATACATTTCCGGCATAAGGCTACTTTTAAGCGGGGAAAATAAGCTCGTTTTTTTTAATGAAATTTGGTATTTTGAATTCTAATTTAAACATTGCCCTCATTATTAGAGCATAATCGGGGTGAACTCTATTGGGGTAAATTTATCGTGTCAGGTCTCAGCTAACTGCTCTTATAATCAAAAATGTTTCAAATAAAGTAGTATGACCATCCACAAAATTTAAGTTAATTCGACTGAAATTTTAAATCCCAGTTCACAAAGCAGCGGACCTCCACTTGAGTAAGAAATCACCTATCTAAGTTTATAGAACCCAAACTTCAGACTTAGGAGGAAGAAGAGAAGGGACTTGAAGTTCAAGTCGCAGTTGTTTCATTTAGACAATGGATTTACTTATCTACAGTATTGGATAAGTGGTAAATGACTACCAGCCGAACTAATTTCTTCAGTAGTGGCCATGCGCTTCCAGCTGCTACTGTAGGAACGCAATTAATTGGTTTTCCAATTGCACGACGTTCGAGGTTAACGAGTTTCGCTTGAGTGCATCGAAAGCATTCTATTAGGCCTTCTAGCATTAAGGAATTCTGAATTCAAATTTGAACTGAGGCTCTTGCGATTCTCTGATTTGTTTTCCACTTTTCGAATATTCCAGATTCATCAGTTCTTAACCCCCACCCCACCCTCCCCCCCTCCTCCCTATTATTACTTTGATTGGCTCTTGCTGCAAATTGGTTTATGATGGCGAAAACTGGGGCACCTGCTCGCCACATATTTGATACTTGTCTGGTTGCTATGTGGCTTTTGGTGTAGTTCTAGATGTGTGAAGCCGTCAATTTGGGTTTCAAGTGGGTGAATGCGTAAAATACGATCGAAATATAGGGCGGCTCAGTAGTACTTATAAAATGCACTATGGCTTTAAGTAACCGTAAATATGCCGCATTCAAACACTTGCGTCTGCCAGATGCTAATTTACTTATTTATTTATTTATTTCGAATGTTAGGCATTTTGATAGTTATCATTCGAACTTCACAGAGGGGTGATACATCAAAGTTCAAGAGGGCGGACCGAAGAGTGATTTGCAGATGTAAAAGAGACCGGCACAATGATAGAGAGTAGGGTAAGGTGAATACTGTAGAAGTGATCGACTATGACATAGAGTGGGGTGATATTAGTTTGAAGTGAGAAGTCAACCGCCTGTATGAGTATGCGTTGCCCAGGGTGCACCACGTGGAGGTAAGTCTACCACGCACCCCGGCCGGATGCTTATGAAGTCCCTTATTGAGGACTACTTGATATCCCATCGGCTTGGTGACATGTGAATTTAGAGAAATATTCAGTATTTCGCACGGATCGGTCCAAGTTACAGGACCCAGTTAAGAGAGATAGAAGAGAAATAACTTGGTTATTAATAGGCGGACAATCATGACTCAGACAAATTTAATCCCATCCGTATTAAACTGCTAAGTTTGGGCTTAATGATGGTCGCTTATCGCCATGTCGAATGTCTTTATATTAGCACAAATTTAATCAAATTTTCCCTTCACATCGGTATTCTAATAACCTTTATGGCTTCATTGGGAGTTAGTCAATGTGACATTTGCTTGTTGACAAATGACTCTGAACTGATTCGTTTCCAGGACCTGGGTTAAAAGATAGTCGCTGACTGACTGCAAGTGAAAATGTCTGTTAGTTGAATTCCAACAATTCTCATGAGAAGGTGACATTGTACAAGCAGAATGCCTGTACATTGGTAATAGTATAAATCCCCTTAACAAATCACCACTTGGTTACTCTGTCATATCAGAATTAAGTGTAGTAGATAGATTCGGTTTCATTGTTTCTTCTTTACAATTTAATCCCACTTCAACCAATGTGGATTTTATTAAATAACAGTTAACCCATTAACGCCCTTAGGGCCATACTGTCCTCTTTCAAAATAAGTTCCATTGGTACTAGTCTCGTAACAGAAGGTGCTATTGCCCTTTGTTACATGTTCAATACGTGTCTACAGCCTTCGCCTGATACCACCAAAAATCATTGCTGTGAGACACGCATGAGTGCGGTCGGGTGAATTTTTCAAAAAATAAACAATTTACAGCCGTTTTTTAATACTTTGGTAGACTCATGTTATTAATTATCCATAAGATACAATATATGTTGAATTGAAGCCCTCTTCTGATACATTCAGCGTTTATGTCCATTATAACCTTAAGTGAACTGAACTGCTTCACAGCACAGCCGACTATTTGGTGGACCAATCGAATAATATAAAGGTGGCTATGAATTGAAGAATTGATAAAATTGAATCTTAATAGGAGATGATCTCTCCCATGTAGGCCTGTTTCCCAAATGAGTCACCGTTCTCTAGCCAACCATGACGTATAGAGCTCCCCTATCAAATCATATCAATTTAAGACTGATCAATAATAATTCATTGGGGTGTGCGATGGACTTACCTCCTCGTGGTGCACCCTGGGCAACGTATACTCATACGAAAAAGTCTATCAACCAGCAGTTGATTTCTCACTTCAAAATACCATGACCCGATTGTGTGTCATATTCGGCCCCTTCCACAGTACTCATCTTAATTTTTTCGCTAACTTTGTGTCTGTCTGCCTTTTTTACATCTGTGAATCGCTCTTCTGTTCCCCACCCCTCGACTTTCTTCTACTTTGATGAACCTTCCCTCTGTGAAGCCCGAAGTCAGCTAAAGGGCTAATGATAACTATCAAAACACCTGCCATTTGAGATAAATGAATAAATAATAATGCACTCGTGTAAATACTCGGTGGTGTTTCTTATTTACAGGGCAATTTTCTAATGAGGACTGGAATATGAATTTTAGAAAATGTTAAAAGTAAATGTGAAAGGATACGCACGATTGCACACGCATGTTTGTCAAGTAGGAAGTCACGATATCTTTAACCCTCGGCACAAATCCAGTTATGGGAGTAACGAACTAACTGGTCATATCAAGGGGGTTGGTTGAATACGTGAGCTTCCCGTAAGAGAGACAATAAAGTGATTTCCTTCTCCTCTTGTTAATCGCTGTCAATGCCTCAATTAATGGACTTACGAGTTTTTCCAATGTGTTAAAATTCGAATTTTTGGTTAACTATAAGTGATATATTGCTAGATTAAATCTCCTCTTTGTGCTTATCCTTTTCAGTATATACACCGATTCCTCTCGAATCTACGAAGAGGTTCCCTCGACACTTACTTCGGGCTTAACAGAAAGGACTCCAACAACAGCACAGCCTTGTGGTTTCACTCGATCTGCCTCTACCACAACACTTACAAGTGTCGAAACAGAGCGAACAGAGCCCACCTACGCAGTTCCTCTTTCCAACAAGGGGAATACAACTACTCTTGGTCCCCTCCAACCACCTGTACCTCCACCGATTCCCCCAAAAACTGGTATCTGCCGTCTGGAGATGGAAGACTTTTCTCTGGGAACTATACCTCCAGCTCTGACGGCCTCGCCACAAGCACCAGTCTATGTAGAGGTTAGTTATGAACTAAAAAAGTAATCGATATTTCCTTATAGCCTTAAGGCTGAGAGAGGTACATGGTTTCTTTATCTTTGAAGAAATAAAGTGTATTTAGCTAAGAATCAGTTATGGGTAGTGAAATAGTTACTTTTCAAATTAATTCTCGTCTATGCTTCCCGTCGATAGTTCTTTTTTGCGTCGTTTTGATTTCAAGTGGATTTTCACGACTCCAAGGAAGAAGTGTAATGGAATCGTTGTGACACTATATTAAATATCCTTTCTGGGGGGGGGGGATTTTATTGGCTCTTGATCGAGCCGATGCATCTCATTTGCAGCGGCTACCATTGCTTTCTTTGTCTGTATTGATACGGTCTGGCAAATCGGAAAAGTAACTGCCTGTTAATGGCTTATTTGATTTACACACTTTCCCACTCCAATTAGGAGAGATACTTCTCATTAGCATTAGATCGCCTCAAAATTTTTGAGACAAGGTAATTTAATTCCAAATTTGCTGCAGCTGTGGGTCACTAAGTGCATTCTATATAAATTACGGTAATTTAGAGGAGGCCTCGTAGAAAGTGATCTGATTGGTGGATTTTCACATGGCTCATAGGGGGCATTTCACGTTTTCCTTGGACTTGGTATTACCTTTAATTGGTAGTACTTAAGTAAAATATCCAATCCCAGGTGTTGTCATTTTGCAGGTTAAATTAAGTAGTTATCCTCTCCTGATTTCGAATTTCTCCTTGATTTCGGCTTTTCACCATCCTTTAAGAGGTCGTCTCTCACTTAATTTAAACAGAGCGATCAGCTGGGAAGTGGGGAGTGAAAACTCTAGATTACATGTGCTTCTTACATGTCACTTACGAGAGGGACCTTATCTCTTGCAAATGAGAGGATATTTAAAAGAAAAAAACTTTCAAAGAAGAGCTAATCTCTTCTAATATCTAATAATTGTATCACAATGCTTGTTGTTAAGTGCTATTAAGCGTTTATGTGATTTCCTGGTTTTATCGTTTACTCTCAATACCGTGTTCCAACGAAATTTGATAGGTGTTTAACACCTATTTGGGACTATCTCAATATCTCCTTGTTCATACACCCTCATTAAAGCTTTGTCACCATTAGGGTTTGTATTGACTTATCGATGACTGTAGACTTTTGCTTACCATCACCATTTGCTGGAATAGACTGTTTATCAAGAAGACCATTGGTCACCAGAATTATAACTTGACCAATTTTCTGAACTGAATTTCTTTGCGAAATCTTTCTATTGTTTATTCTGTGTTTGCTTAAAATCACTGCCACAGAACCGTAAAACCACCGCGTGTGGTATTCGTGAAAGACTGACATAAAACGGCATTTGCATCGCAGTCTGTCTAGCAACTCCCCCCCCCCCCCCCACCTCCCTCGAACATATGACTTGCCCATATTATATTCGTAATGGTAGTTCGGCTCTGCTTTTGAGACTCTATAATGCGTCTAATTATCAATAAGCCGACCTTTAATAATGTGTGTGTGCGCGTGCGTGCTAATTGGTCTAGTGTAGCTGGATCTTTGAAGAATATAATAAGGCTGATTCTCTTTTAGCAATGGGAAGCACTAATCGATTGCCACATCACTAGTATGACGAGACCTAGACAGCTCGTTTGTTTCCACTCACTCCTCCCTTACTCGCCAATCACTATGGCATCGAGCATGGATCATGCTGAGTGTGGTTGTGAATTATTTTAAGCCTTATTTACAATGAGCTATCTTCTTGTAGAAGACATTGCCTCAACGACGTGCAGCAAGCGCCTTACGGGTCTCCTATCAACGTTCACCTCGCGTTGATGATTCAATGCGTGGTCGACGTCCAGCTTCCACAGTTTCACCATCCGATCTGGCCAACACTGACACCTACACTACCACTAACACAGTAACCAGCAGTAGTGGTAGTAGCTGGTATGCTGATATCCTCCCTTATAACCCTTCAAATCTTCCCGACACTCTTGCCGACCGTTTGAAGCAACAGCGAAACAGTTTTATCCTCTCCGCTCCACCCTCCAATGGTAGTCAGGGTGATAATCTGATGACCCGATCCCTGTTCGAACCCCGTCAGACCACTTCAGAGAGTTGTGCTTGGCCTCTTCCTACCGGTCGTTCTGCTTCGAGGACTCGTCCAGTTTCCTTTCACGATGCTCCATCGATCCCAATCAACCTGCCTTCGCTGGATCATCTCTTGAAACCGTCAGAGAATAGAAAAATATCTGCACCGGCAGCCGATGTTAGCTATACTTCACCACTGAAAAATCTCCTCTTACAAGAACCCATACAGCACTTCCAATCGACGGATTCTCCCCTCCTTGGGCAGTACTGTCGGTTGAAATTGGTGATTCCTCCTCCCGCGCCTTCCTCGGAGACGTCTTATTCAACGTCTAGTGGAAGTGGAAGTCGAGTGGCAACGGCAGCCGGCTCAAATATATGTTCTACATTCATGCAATCTCCTTCCAGATTTTGACCTAAGTTGCTGTTGAATTGATTGTTTTAGCGCTCTTATGTATGCAATCTACACGCACACACGCACACACACACACACACACACACACACACACCAGTATATATGCATTAGTACAGTATCCTTTTCCAGTACAGAATCTCTTGCGTGCTCTTTTTAATTTCTTTTGCAATCTAAGCTATGGTCGCATGAAACGGCAAATAAGTGACTATTTTAATGGCACAAGCGATCAATCTCTCCTTTTGGGCTACCCAACCCAATTCACAATTTGAGAGGGCATTCGAGAAAAAAGAAATATTTCGGCTTATTCATAGTAAGACGTAATGAATTCTGTTAATTTACCTCCTGCTGGTATTTTGACCATTAGAGGAGCGGGTGGAATTGTGTAACCACCCAACCAAGTTAATCAACTAGATACCATGGCTGTGAAATCGTTTAGAAACTCAAAAGCCATTTTCGGAAATCTTGCAAATCACAAACCAGAATTTTAGTGGAATAGGATATCGATTTCTACCAGGTCTTCTCCCTTTAACCCTCATTCCTCTCTAAGTCTAGGCTCTTTCGAATGATTAATAACTAGAAATAATTCAAGGTTCCGTAACTTCACCAGGGTGGTCTTGCTCTGTAGTTATTAGAAAAGTTGTATCAGATGACAAACTTGATGATAGTTATCCTTAGTCCTTTAGTTCACTTCGGTCTGCAGAGGGGAGGAACATCAAGGTGAGAAGAATTCGAGAGGTGGAACAAAAGAGTGATTCAAGGATGTAAAAGAGGCAGACGACAAAGGTAGAGAAAAGGCTCTGTGAGGTGAGTGCTGTGGAAGTGGTCGAATATGACTTAGAGTTGAGTCATGGTAGTTTGAAGTCAGAAGTCAATTACCGGTTTATAGACATTATTGTCATCTAAGTATACGTTGCCCAAGTTGCACCACGTGGATGTCAGTCTTTCGCTCACCCCAGTTATTAGTAAATTGGATTTTTGTTTCGAAATATCACTATAACGGCAATGAGAAATAATTTAAAACATTGCAAAAGGGAAATTAAAGGACATAGCCAGACAACTTCATAGCATACCAAGACTGATTCTCTCCTTTCTAGGAAATCAGACATGATGCTTCAATAAGAGGGAAAATAAAAAATCGGCCTTAAGGAAGGAGAAAATCAGTTGGGAACGCATTCCCCCCCCCCCTAAACTTACAACTTCACTAAATGCCATGGTATGCAGTTGATTTAATTTCGCATTCGACAATTCCTTTCTGCTGTTACCTTTCTCCACTGTCATGAGTTAAAAAAAATGGAGACAGAAACGGTGGTGACCTATTTATAAATCTGGAGAGGCAAAAGAAAACACAAATTTTGGAGACCTAAAATGCGATCTAAAACGGAGTAAAGCGAGCGTGAGAAAATCAATAAACTGGTTAAAGGCCAATAGGGGGGGGGGGGGGGGGGGAGGGGGTTTGAGTAGTGGGAAGAAAGATGTGGTGAAGGCGTACTTTGATCTCGTTAAGCAATCGTTGATAGGCCATAAAGGAACTTCACCTTAACCCCTTTAGTTCCTAAGTACCTTAAGGTCTTCTTTCAAAATAAGCTCAATTTGTGCTTGACTCGTAACAGAAGGTGCTATTGCCGTTTGTTACATGTTCAATACGTGTCTGTAGCCTTCGCCTGATACCACCAAACTAATCAGTCTTCTGTAAGACAAGCGTGAAGTTTTCTAACAAAAAAATAATTTGAGGGTTAAAGGACTAAAGCGTTAAATTTGTGGGCTGATTGAGGAAATCAATCGTATGATGGAAGAATATTTATTTCTGCTAATTATGATAAACTTGGAAAATCTTTAAGTTTATCCTCAGAGTTAAAATCTCACTCCATTTGATTCACTCCTCCTCGCGATTGGTTGCGCATCCGAACTGGGATGGCGAAGCAGTTAATTTGAGCCTGCTTACTCACGTCTAAACTATCACCCAGTCATCGGTTATGAACATCATTTTGCAGTAAATGGCTTTAAGCGATTAATAGTTTGAAGGCAAAAATATCGAAGTTGACCGGTTATTTTAACCGAAAGGAAGTCACTCAGATCACCCTAATTTCTAACCCCTTTCGTAAAGAGTAAACACGTTTGTAAGTTGACAGGCTAACTCAAAAGAGAAAGTCGACCATCTAGTTTTTTTGTTTGTGTTGGGAAGCCGGGTGATGCTTCTTCAGTGGTTCGATTAAGTTAGTTGCAAGATCAAAATATTCATTTATATCAAGTGGCAGGCGTTTTTGATAGTAATCATTAGCCCTTTAGTTGACTTTAGGCTTCACAGAGGGGAAGGGACATCGAAGGGGGAAAAAGTCGAGAGGGGGGGGGGAACAGAAGAGTAATCCACAGGTGTAAAGAGACAGACACAAAGGTAGAGAAAAAGGTGAGGTGAGTAATGTGTAAGTAGGCGAATATGACATACAGTGGGATGATGGTAGTTTGAAGTGAGAAGTCAACTGTCGGTTTATTGACTTTTTTGCCGTATGAGCATACGTTGGCTAGGGTGCACCACATGGAGGTAAGTCTATCGCACACCCCAGATCAGAATATTAGCTGCATGGGAATTCTACAAAACTATTGAACAGCTTCTCCATTTTAAAATTTCCATGCCTGTTAAGTGATTGACACATATAGTGAAGTTCCGTAATTAGCCATTCCAGGACAGATTCGAATCGAAGACTGCAACACATAGAGTCACGCAAACCACAAGGCGGTTTAGAAAACTGTATATTAGATATATCCACATCTAATGAGATTTTGCATTCTCCCATCAAGAGTGTTTCAAGCTATTTAAACTCTAATTCTAATGTATATGGGATATTTTGTTATTTTTTACCAGGTGTGTTGAAGATGTCTGCACGAATTCGGGCTTGGTTGAAGCAATTTTTTTCAAATTTTCAACCTCTATCATAAAGCCTCCAGTGAATGACAATTCTCCACAATTCTAGTCGTACTAGTATCGAAGAGGTCAACTTTGAACTCAACCAGCTCACGAACACCGATCGACTTGTCGAATACACTTCTGAGCTCGGTGTAACTTCCTGTTGAACCACATCTATGAGACACTCTTCTGTTCCTCCCCTCTGTGAAACCCTAAGTGAACTAAAGGCTAATGGCGACTATCATAAACCATCATCATATGTATTCCATTCGTGTTTTTACCTACTTAAACTGAATTAGAATGGGAAGATGGGAAAGATAACTACATCTCAGATGTTAAGTGTCTGATGGACGGTGGTGGTTGCTGTGGTAGAGCAAGATTGGGTCTCAGTTAATGTCAAGCCTCACAAAGATGTGACTTCCCACTCCACTTGAGAGTGTCTAATGGCTATATCAACAATACAAAAGTCACTGCAGTATCTGCATTCTTGAGTAGGATTGATTTCCATGTTGTCAAGTACTTTGTAGTTTGTCAACTTATATAATGCAATGTGATTGAGACCAGGCGTTTTAAGATGAGTAGGTTCTGTTTGTGGATATTTCTCTTTGCACTCTTCTGCGATTCACGACTTTCCATACCCGTCTTGTCTCTTCCTTTGAAAGTATAGGCTAAAATTTGCCTTGTTTTGCAGGTCAGGCTGGTGAGTTTTGAATAGCCGGAAAAATAGCCACCCTTAAAATTATTCACATCTTTTCGTATATAACGACGTCTTTTCGCTTTACAATAGCTTATTGTTAATAATTATGTCCTTGACCATGAAAATAATTCTAAATATGAGACACGTAAATCAGTTCAGAAGTCCATTCACTTGACAATTAAGTGGATACAACACAAATAAGACCTGAATAATCCTCGCAATCCTCTCTACCACAATCCTTAATTATAACTTTGCTCCCGAAAGTGGAAAGACTACTTCCAAAGTATCGAGAACACGAATCGGATACAAAAAGTGTTTACCAAACACGTTGGGCAAACTACGAACACGATTAGTCATCAACTGAAGCTAATTATACTCTACGTCACGTAAGCTCGATTGATGATTCGATG